ATCCTCTAGTGAGGGCTCAGCAAACCCAGCCTTGACAGGCAATGCGGTTTGTTTCCACTGCTAGTGTCAAGCACAATGCTAAAGTCCTGCTGCATCACTTCTTATTACAAAACCCCATCTGAAGAAGCGAACCGTGACTCACGAAAGCTCATACCCTAACCACAAATTCTGTTAGTCTTTAAGGTGCTGCTGGACTCTTTTCTGCTGCTACAGACAGACTAACACGGCTACCCATCTTGATCCATTTACAAAGAGAACAAGATGGTTGCAGTAATTCTGTGCTGCGAGCTTTGGCAGAAATGGGAATTAAGTGTAAGTAAAGTGGGCTTTAAGGTGAGTAAGCTACCCATCGAAGCAAATACTGAGTAATAAAACAGATCTTGCTTGTGACCACCAAATGGGTTTACAGATTCAGGAAAAAAATTTTTTACAAGACAGATGTCCTAAATCTATTTTTGGCAGCTGAAAGAGTCTGTTTTGTTTTGTATGAGGTCATAGCTGATAACAAAGAACTGCTGATAACTAAAACTATTTTTTCCTGTATAATTAAAAGAAACAAAATGTAAATTCTCCAAGGACAAGAACCTGATACAAAGACATCCTGAAACCAGATAGTCTGTGACATTGCTCTTCTGCACCCAGCCCCCTGGTTGTTTATACAGGTGTCTATAGAAGAATGCTGGCATTTGGGTTTACCCAATGAAAGCTGATAAGCTAATGGCTCTCTCTCTCTCTTTTTCTCTTTTTTTTTTGGATGCTTCTGTATCTTTATCAACCTTCATCTCTTTAAATCTGCAGACATGATCCCCTTTACCCCAGTCCCCTGGGTGTTATCAGCCCTAGAAAATAGGCTTGTAACTATTCTTGGAATGTGCTGCCTACCACTTTTGTATTAAGCTATTTTCCCTTTTACGGGGAGCAGCTTTTTCCCTTAACCATCTAAAATAGTGCTGTACGGCATAGTGCGGTACGGCATACAACAGATGAAGCTTTCAAGCCACATTGCATCCACATGAAAATTTTTACTTACACCTACTCTAGCTACAACATTTAATAGACTAAGCACATGAGGGAAACAATGTGTAACTCAATGACTTTCAGAGACAAAACCTTCTTTAACAAGGGAAGTATAGAATTTGCCAGTTTTGTATATAAGTATGAGCTTAGAAATTAAGAGTGTCTTGGCACTCAAAATATCCACAAGTTTTATTTATGAGTAGAAAGTAAGTAGCAACTACTGCGAGGTACTAATTGTTATTTTCTGCAAGTAAGCTGGTGTTAGTTTGTCCTCACCTATAGGCCTTTGATTTATATCTCTGTTCACGTTAAACAGAATTAGGATAGTAGCAATCCCGTGTCCAGAAATCTCCCAAGCCTTGTTCACATGTTACAGTGAACACATGTACATCCTGCCTGTACATGTGTACATCTGCTTGTATGGAACAATGAACGTATCTGTTTTCAGTTTACAAATGAAATTGGGGACCAGTATCTGGATAAATGTGCTGTTTCTATCGCACCATCAGCTGTACATGCAGTGAATGTAACAAGAATTATTCAACACATGGATCAAGAAAAATGAATTGAAATGAAATGGACTGTACAGGTGTTCTCTGTACCTTGTGGACAGGGTGTCAGTGTAGCCCTGGTCAAGTGAATATTTAAACCGGGTTTTTCGGTGTCCAAGAGCAACTGTTTTGTTTTGTCAGATGGTGATGAAAAGAAATAATCTCTGAACTCAACATTGCTTCCAGCGAGCTATTCTTGTCTTCTCTGTGTGTGGCCCTTCCCCAGAATACTACTCATGCATAGCTGGTTTGTATATGATGTTGAAATTTGACCATGCTTGGCTTTCATCTGTATATCTCTGTCCTCTGTCAGAGTTTCTCCATTTTCTCTCAAATCAAACCCAGGTCTCCAGATTAGAGTCCGCCGCTCTTAACTGGCTTAACTGGCTTTCCGAGGCCAGTCTAGGGTCAGGGTTTCCAAAAAAGCCAGTTGTCAGGTCCAGTTCCAGGTTGCAGAGGTCCAGTAACAGGAAGGTTGGTGGCTCAGTAGCCAAGTCTTAACAAGCTACAATTCCTTGGCAGTCATCCTGAAACTACTCATCCTGTTTGGTCCTTGCATCTGTTAAACACCTTTATTATGCTGTACGCTAATTTGCTGCTCATCCTCTGCCTATATGTATGGACTGGTAACTTCCATTTCAGTGTATCTGAAGAAATGTGCATGCACACAAAAGCTTGTACCTTGAATAAAAAATTGTTTGTCTTAAAGGTGCCACTGGACTCAAACTTTGTTCTATGGTCTTAGTTGCACATCAGAAATTTCCGTATCTCACGCATGTTCTTCTCATGGAAGTTGCCATCCAGTTTTATTTATACAGTACTGTATATCTTCCTGCAGGGAGCCTACAGTGGTTTGTTTGTGTTTTCTGTCAGCATATTGACCAGACTGAAACCTGCTTTGTTTTAATTATGTGGTATGAATGCGGTGGCTCAAGTGGTTAAGACGCTGAACTGCAGGCTGTGGAAGGTCAGTAGTTCAGCAGTTCGAGACCCAAGAGTGCTGCAAGACGGAGTGAGCTCCCGTCTCTAGTTCCAGCTCCTGCCAACCTAGCAGTTCGAAAGCCAAAATTGCAAGTAGATAAATAGGTACCACTTCAGTGGGAAGGTAACAGCGCTCCGTGCGCCTTGGTGTTTAGTCATGCCGGCCACATGACCACGGAAACGTCTTCGGATAGCGCTGGCTCTTCGGCTTTGAAACGGAGATGAGCACCGCAACCCTAGAGTCGGATTCGACTGGCTTTCGAGCAAGGGAACCTTTACCTTTACTTATGAATAGTTACCCTCAGCTTGATCGTTGGTCTGCTGTGAATGTTCTTCCATGTTCCTGCTCGCACAACCTAAGACCATATGTGTGAGCTGTAGTTCAAGACAGATGAGTTTCATAATAGGTGAGCTGTCCTTCAGTCTAGAGAACTTAAGAGACGTTATGGGGAAATTCTTAAGGAACAGCTGAAAAGAATGGAAGAAGGAAACTGATTTTTTCATGATTGATTTTTTTTTCTAACAGTAACATAATTAGTTTGCTTGTAAGCAGCAAGCTTTCTAACAGCAACTCCATGTTCTGTTCTCTGCATAAATCAAAAGCAGGTTCTTTTCTAACCTGGCTGTCCTCTCCCCCCCTACTTCTTTTTTCCCCTTAAGTGTGTGTTTTTAGTAAATACTAAGATGGGGAGAAATATTTTCCTCCTTCTGCGTTATGTTTTCCTTTCAGTACCTCTAAAGCAGTGTTGCAATAACTTTCATGAGAGTGTTTGGCAATAGCAAGCAAAATGTTTGTGTTTTTCTTGCTCTTGGGCAAAGTGTGTACTTTAAACAGTAATCTGATATGGCAGAGGGTATGTGTGTATATGCCTGCAGGGGGGAAAATCAGATTCAGTAGAAACATGTAATAAATCTGTTATCTTCATTGCATTCTTTCCCTGCTGTTAAGAGTTCTTTAGAGATTACTTTTGTAGTTAAAAGTAGATTGTGTTTTTATCTACACAGTTGCGTTTGGGTTTTCCAACTTCTATTGCAGTCTTTTTTTTAAAAAATGATGTTCCTCTAAAAAACATTTTTACCCCCTTTACTTTTTTTGTCTCTGTGTCACTATGTCATCCTTATTAATTCTGTGAGGGAGAGAAAAATTGCTCTTGGTTTCCAGCAGGCTTGGCTATTTTCTCCAGTTGTGTTCAAAACTGTTTTGGATGCCTCTAACCATTCTCTTTGGGAAGTGAGCGCTATGTGGAATGTGCCATACCCCCTACCAAAGTAAGACACTCACGGGGGTAACGGAACGCTCTCTGCTCTGTGGCCAGTACATTTCCAGCCTGAAAGAAAAAAAACAAAAACAAAACAAGTGATCTCACAAGTAACAATGAACATTCTTTGAAATCCTAGGAGAAGTTCTCTTAAACAACACTGTCCAAAGTCTTTGAAGGTTTGATTTCTGAAATGATAGTTTGCGAAAATGTTTTGCCTAGCCCTTACAGCTACACATACTGAGGCTCTGATAAGAGACTCAAAGTATTTTTTGGAGGAGGACTGAATCACGAAGCAGCATGCTGTGGTGTCAGATTAGATCTGGGAGACCCATGGTTTGAATCGCCACTCTGCCCTGGAAGCTTGCTGGGTGACCTGAGATCTGTCACTGCCGCTCGGCATAACCTACCCCACAGGATGGTTGTTACAAGGAGAAAATAAGAGCAGAGGAGAATGATGTTGTAAGATGCTTTGGATTCCCATTAAAGAAGAAAAGTGGGGCATAAATACTTTCTGTATTTTTAAACTCCTTGGAAGATTTTACAACAACTATGTATCAGGGTTGCTTTTCGTTAATGTTGTTTGCATTTTATCATAGATCATAGCCCTGTGCTTCAGGGCTGTTGTCCAGATTAATTTAAGTATTTGTTTGAAGAAATCAATATTCCCTTTTCAGTCTTTGATAACTTAAGGTTCTTTCTTGCCATAGTAACTCACAGCTTAAAACATATCGCCCTGAATATCTTTCAGAGAGACAATAACAGCTACTTGCACCTTCTTGTCAAACAGAATATCCTCAACATTGAAAATGATGAAAATTACAAATTATATAAACAATTAAATTTATGTAATGCAATTAATAACTCAGTTTCTATGTACCAAAAACCCAACAGTCTTTTAGTGTCCCTTACAAACTGCTGATACAGTCACATTTGTTCATTGATTCATTCAACAGGCAAACTCCATGTATTCCAACCATCCAATGTCCTTGCCATGATTTGACCTTGTTGAAAATTTGCACCTCCTTGGCTGTTCTGCCTACTACACAGCTGTAATGAGACAGAGCATGGGGGGGTACTTAGATGTACTCCTAAAAATATACCTTTCATATCTCTGTTACCTGCCATATTGTTACAAACATGTAACTGAATAAGATAAACACTACCTTTTCAAATTTATTTTTTTCCTTAGATTGAAGAAGGCAGCAAAGCTGCAGCAGTTGACAAGTTGCTGGCTGGTGATGAAATCATTAGCATCAACAATGTGGAGCTCTCTGGGTTCAGGCAAGAGGCAATCTGTCTGGTGAAAGGTTCGCACAAGATGCTGAAGCTTGTAGTGAAAAGGTAAGGTCACATGAATCATACTGAACAATACTGAAATAGAGATGTGGTTGAGATAACTATATATGGTTGAGTGTTGCCAGTTATGAAAATCAGATCCGTCTCTCTTGTTTCTTCCCTTGCTAATTTGTTTTCTTTCTCAGAAAAAGTGGAACATTATTTCCCAGGAAAAAAATCTAGCTTTGGTTTGGATCCTACAAGCATGAGTAAAATGTGCTTATGGAGCTGTATTTTTTCCTTGCCATCCCTTTCACTGGTCCCCGAAGACCTCCTGAGAAGCCAGTGTAAAGGGTCAGGGAAACCTCATGCAAAAATCCATGGAGCACACAGAGGGCTGCAGTGAAGCGGGAGAAATAAGATGAAATCACCCCTCCTCCTTCTGCTGATGGGCAAGCCCAGAAATATTTCTAGAGGAGAAACAATTTCATTCAGTTCCCCTTCCTCATGGCAGGCCCCTCATGCCTTACGTTTGTATTGGATTTCGTCACACTTCCACCCTCTAAATGTAACTTGAATGCAGAGGTATGTGAAACTGCATCTTGTCCTGAATCCTGTGTAGGATCCTCACTACTTACTTTGCTGTGTGATTTATCTGCAAGTCAGCAATGGCTGTTTTTGTCTCTTTTGTGTGCCACAGACTTGAAAGAGCATGTGGACACTCTCCATGCTTGCACAGGAAACCTTTGCTAGTTGCTATGACAAGCTGTGGAGGCTGTAGAAACAATTATAGACATGTTCCAGCAACCAGTGTCAACTCACAGCCGTGATCAGACTATGTACCACCCAATATCAACTCAAAGCTATAATCAGGCTGTATATCACCAAAAAAGAAACCTCTACACTGTAGAGCGACTGCTAAAAATGCAGCCTGTGAAGATGAGGCTCGGTTAAGACGCCAGTGGAAGTAGAAAGTGGATAACGGGACCTTATTTATTTATTTTTATTTATTATTATATTTCTACCCTGCCCTCCCCGCGAACGAGCTCAGGTCGGCTCACAAAAAGGGCACCATGTGCCAAGATAAAACAGTAAAAACCTTGGGTTCTGAAGGGTCTGGTGGAATCTTGGATTACAGTTGTGGAGCTGACATGCTGTTGATGCACAGGGAAGGCAAATGTTCAATCATATTTTAAAATACGATTGTTCCTAGTCCTGCTATGTCTCAACACTGAGTCATACAGAAAATGGTGGCTATTATACATCCACCTGAATGTTTTTAGTGGATTCTCCGTAATGGGGCAGTAAGAACAGAAGAACGTTAGGAGAGCTCTGCTGTATTTTATTTTTTTTATTATTTTATTTATCTTTACATTTATATCCCGCCCTCCCCGAAGGCTCAGGGCGGCTCACAAGGGGCATAAATGCCTGGTTAAAACAATGAACAATATAAAATACAATATGCATAATACACTAAAAAATGTCGGTCCTCCAGAATTACTTAACCGTAGATTTCAAGATGGGCTTCTAGAGGTTTTATACCAGAACAACAAACCAACAATGTGCGTCCCAACTACACTTTCATCTGCCAAGGAACGTCTCATGCCCCCAGTAATACCTACTCCACCGATGGTCAAAGTGCGGAGTTGAGGGGCGGTGATGGAATAGTGGTGGCGGCGGCTCTTACTCAAAAGCCTGGCGGAAGGGCTCCATTTTACAGGCCCTGCGGAACTGCATCAGGTCCAGCAGTGCCCGGATCTCCTCTGGGAGCTCATTCCACTAGGTAGGAGCCGCCATTGAAAACACCCTGGCCCTGGTGACAGCTAATTTGATGTTTCTGGGGCCTGGAATATCCAGGAGATCTTGATTCCCCGACCGTAGTGCCCTTGGGGGAACATGTGGGGAAAGGCGGTCCCTTAGGTAAGCCGGACCCTGGCCATGTAGGGCTTTAAAGGTTAAAACCAGCACTTTGAAGCGAATCCGGTATGCCATTGGCAGCCAGTGCAGCGCTTTCAGCACAGGCCAGATGTGGTCCCGTCTAGTGAGACCCATCAACAGCCTTACTGCAGCATTCTGCACTAGCTGCAGCTTCCGAATTTGCGACAGAGGCAGCCCCATGTAGAGAGTGTTACAGTAGTCTAGCCTCGAGGTGACCATCGCCTGGATCACTGTAGCCAGGTCATCTCGGTCGAGGAAAGGAACCAACTGCCGTGCCAGCCGAAGATGGTAAAAGGCCGACTTGGCAGTGGCTGCCACCTGGGCCTCCATCGTTAATGAGGAGTCCAGGAGCACACCCAAACTCCTAACCTCCGACGATGGCACCAAGGGAGCCCCAACCCCGAACTGATCCGACTCAGGCCCAGGACCTCCATCTTTGCCGGGTTTAGTTTCAGCCGGCTCAGTCTTAGCCAACCAGCCACGGCCTGTAACGCCCGATGAAGGTCATCTGGGGCGGATCAGATAGAGCTGGGTGTCATCTGCATATTGATGGCACCCAAGCCCACAACTCCGGGCAATCTGGGCAAGGGGGCGCAAGTAGATGTTAAACAATATCAGGGACAGCACCGCCCCCGAGGCACCCCACATTCAAGAGGCCCCCTCCGGGACCGCTGATCCCCTATCGCCACCCTTTGTCCCCAACCTTGGAGAAAAGAGGCAAACCATTAAAGGGCAAGCCCCTGAATCCCCACTTTGGCGAGGCGGTGGGCTAGCAACTGGTGGTCGACCGTATCGAACACGGCCAACAGATCTAACAACAACAGTGCCACCACACCGCCACAGAGGTCGTCAGTCAGAGCAACCAGTACCGTCGCCGTCCCATGACCCGGGCGAAAGCCGGACTGGAAGGGATCGAGGACAGAAGCGTCATCTAGAAAGCCCTGTAGCTGTGTTGCCACCGCCTTCTCAATATGTTTGCCCAAATAGGGCAAATTGGACACCGGCCAATAGTTGGCCAATTCGGCTGGGTCCAGAGATGGTTTTTTCAAGAGAGGGTGGAACATTGCTTCCTTGAGTGCCCTAGGGAACCGTCCCTCCAAGAGGGACTTGTTGACAATCTCCCTCAGGGCACCTCGAAACCGCTTGCAACCCACTTTAACGAGCCAGGAGGGGCATGGATCAAGGTTGTATGTGGTTGGACGCACAGATACGAGCACAGATACTGTATCAGACCAGTGGTCCATTTAGTCCGACATCCTTTCTCACGCAGTGGCCAACCAGTTCCTCTAAAGGGACAACAACAGGACATAGAGGCTGAGACCTTCCCCTGATGTTGCCTCCTGACTCTGGGATTCAGAGGTTTAGTAGCTCTGAATGTGGAGGTTCCCCTCAGTCACCATCCCTAGTACACACTGGTGGCCATATCCTCCATGAATTTATCTAATCCCCTATTAAAGCTGTTTATTCCTGCAGTCATCACTACAACCTTTGGCAGTGAATGCCACATTTTAATCACTCTCTGTGTAAAGAAGTATTTCATTTCATCCATCCTGAATCTACTGCCTATCAGTTTAATTTGATGCCCTTGAGTTTTAATATTTTGGGAACGGGAGTAAAATTTCTCTTTGTCAACTCTCTCCACCCTGTACATAATTTTATAAACATGTCCCCCCCCCATCATTATTATTATTATTATTATTATTATTATTATTATTATTATTATTATTATTATTATTATTATTATTAATAATAATAATCTACTTTATTGTCATTGTACATAGTACAACGAAATTAAGATGCAATCATTCGGTGATCTACAACCATACTCATATACACTCACACAACCATTCACAACCATCCCATAACTCCCTTAAGGTTCACATTGCAACTTAAACCACCAATGTCACCCAAATTCCAATTCATACAGCATTTAAAGCAATAATAGCTCTCAAATAAAAACTGTTTTTTAATCTGTTTGTCCTTGTTTTAATTGTCCTATATCTTCTACCCGAAGGCAGCAGTTCAAACAGGGAGTGTTCAGGGTGTGACAAAGCCTGCAAAATGTTCTTTGACAGGGGCATTACAATATCGGCCAGTTTATGTTCAGTCCCTTCCCTAATAATTCCTAACACAGAGTTTGCCTTTTTCACTGCTGTGAGCCCATCATGAACACATGAAACTGCCTCACACTGAATCAGATATTGGGTTGACACTTTCATTGAGCTATCCACTACGACCCGAAGATCTTTTCCCTCTCAGTCTCAGCAAGTGTGGACCCATTAGCCCCTACTTGAAGCTGGGATTTTTGGTCCCAATGTGCATCACCTTACACTTACCAACATTAAACTTTAAGTTTAAAAGCTGCTCTGCCACCTTTTTGATATTAATCGCCAGCAGCCTGGTTCTTTTTTGGTTCAAGTGAAGCCTGTCTCTCTTGTACAGGTTTGGCTTGTCCCAGAAAGTTCCCCAGTGCCTATCCAATCTGAACCCTTCGTCCCAGCACAACTTTGAGACCTTGAGACTCTCACTCTCCACAATAGCAGAAGAGCTGTCAGCACAGCTGAGGGTCTCTTCCCCGAACCTCTCTCTCTGCCTGAGCTTCTCCAGGTCGGCAGCCTTAGCCTCAAGGGAACAAACCTTCTCCCTGAGAGCCAAGAGCTCCATACACTAAGCACACGCTCATGATTTCCGCGCAATGAGTAGATAATCCTACATTCTCTGAAAAACATTGGATAGCTCCCGCTCACCTGCCGGCTTTCTAACTTCATAACTGATTAGTCGTGAAAAGGTATGTTAGAGTGAAATTGGGTGCTTACCTGACCTAGGGCAGATTTCCGTAGCAGGGAGGATATAGCAGCGCATCACTCTCCTTCCTGATGTGGACCTTGTATGTCCCTTCTCAGGAAACTCAGACTAGAAGGGCTCTGTCCTGCTCCCCCTCAGCCTCTCATGGTGAAACTCCCAAGCTCAACTCCCCTGTCTGAAGCACTGTGAACAAGCCCCAGGACCAAACCCCAGAGGCATCCTCTGTGCCTTTTACAGGCTCAGCCCTCTAATGAACTATACTTTACAGCTGAGAGCTGTGGCTCCACTCCCAGGAGTCTCACTCAAGCAGAAGCCCCTCCCAG